AAGAACACAATACTATCTCATTGTTGGCCTGTCCTCATGCACTCCACGTATAAACAGGGCAGATGAAAGTAATTATCTGTGAGTTGTGGCCTACCCTCTCATATGAGATGGTTAATTAGTCCATTCCATTTGCTTTTAGCCTTGCAACATCCAGAGCTGGTGGTCTTTCAACTGGCGGGGAGGTGGAGACCTTGTAAAACTGCTTTTAACTAAACAACATCACTTTCTTCAGTGCCTTCAGAGTTTGTTTACAACATGCCGTCTTAGAGCAGCTATAACCATGAAATACTGTGTATAGTCAATAAACATTTAGCAGGATTATAAAGCAAGTTTAAGGTTTGGCCTCTTTGGTGAAAAAAACCAAAACATATCTGCCTTCTCTCCGGGCAGCACATTTTTGCCAAGCGAGCATCATGGCTCTACGGCTGGTCAGTTTGTAAGTCCACCACATTGATACCGCAACAGCTCTTGATGGATTCACATTCTGAACAGAGATTCGCAGTGCCCTGAGGATACATCCTAATGACTTGCTGATCACCTGACTTTTTTAATCTAACATCTAACATCTATAGTCTAACATCTGTAATGATACAGTCTATAATGACATAATCTAACATCTATAATGATATAATCTAACTAGTGTTGCCAACTTTGTCACTATGAAATAGGGACAAAACGGTGGTCTGCTGCAGCAGTGCAGGTATGGTTTTGTGTGAATTTACAGTGTATTGTTTTAAGCAATTTGTCATAATGACAGCTAATCTCTTAATTAAATATTTGGTAGGTTTCATAATAGTTTATTTACAGCAGGTACCTTTAACACAGTCCTTTAATTGAACCACTACCTGTTACCTTTACTATTTGTCAAAACACTTGTGGCTCTTGCACTGTAGGTTACAAAAGGTTATCCCCTTCATGTACATATCACAAACTAAAAAGAACATAGCTACTTGTGATGTGTTTTATTTCCAGTTCATGCTTTTTCAGGCAGTTCATCGGAACTTGAATACCATTCGCAGTTTCATCACAATCTTCATAAAAGTCAAGCAACTTGCACGGCACACTATCAGACACAGAAAAAATGACACGCACACTGGAAACAGTTTCTCTTGTTTGAGGCGCCGGTGGCAACAAAGTAAAACACAGGCTCACCATCAGACGGGGATTGATCATTCCTGTACGGCCCATGGTCCTAAAACATTCATTGTAATCATCTCAGCTTTGGTTCTTCCCAAATGCATCTTCTTCACAACTTTTGAGTCATGAAACAACACACCGTTTAGCTTAACAAGACAGCTGGTGCTAAAGTCCATGTTTGACAGTGTGATACATGTACGAGGCTTCACTTGCCGCTATTTTGTCAATTTCCACAGTAGCTGCATTTAACGTTTCTTAACATATAGGCCTACTGAAGCACGTGAGGGGGGGGCTGTGATTGGATGATGACAGGTGTCGGTGACCATTGTCAAGTATCGTGATCAGCACTGCTGCTGTTGCTGTTGTGTCAGTGGTTAGATCAGCGTAATAGTCAAAAAACGGGACAAGAGAGGTCACGTATGGGACAAATCAATTAGACCTATTATAAGCATATAAGCATCCCTAAATCTAACATCTATAATGATATAATCTCACACAGAATGTGGTATAGAGATTCATGGTTTTCAGATGATGTATCCTAACAACTTTTTTTTAAACTTTGATCTAGTGTGTCTTTTATCTTTTCATTATAAAGTTTTGAGTGAAATGTCTAGACAACTATTGCCATGAAATATTGTACAGTTATTCGTGGTCCCCAGAGGATTAATCCTACCACATTTGGTGACCCTCTGACTTTTCTTCTGGTACCGCAATGAGGTTGTTTTTTTAGGGAAATGTCTACTAGACCTATTGGATGGATTTCTACAAAATGTTCTACACACATTCATGTTCCACTCAGATGATGTTTTGTGCTAATTAGCAAATGTTCACATGCTAACATGCTAAACTAAGACGGTGAACATAGTAAACATTATAACAGCCAAACAACAGCATGTTCACATTGTTATTGTGAGCATGTTAGCATGTTGATGTGAGCATTTAACTGAAAGCAGTGCCTTGCCTAAGTATAGCCGCAGGCTATAAACTCTTCATCTTGTTTTTACATTACAAACAGTAAACAATACATCTGATTCTAACATGTTTGCACATTTCAAAAATGGATATACAAATGGTTAGACAAAAATAAACAGCTTACAATATAATGAAAGATGATAAATAAACACCTTAAACTGAAACCTCAAAAGTTGAGCGAGCTCTCTCAGGCACAAGAAAACTTAAATATTTTAAACACAGGACTATTGCAGGACTATTGTATTATATTGCACCATATTGTGAGGCGTTCCTGTTAGTTTGTGCACCTCAGTATTGTGATGGTTTGTAGTAAAAATATTTATGTAATCTGATTTCTGCACAAATGGCTATGAGTCATAAATAGTTTTACTGCACATGAAATATGCAATCAAGTGCAGTCCGTCTTTTGTCAGATGTTAATCCAGTCCTTTGATGTTGAGATCTAAAGGCAAGCTAAAGAAGAAATGTGCTCAACTCTGTTGTATGGTCATCAGACATGGGATTAAAAGCTCCCATCTGAATAGTCAATCTGCATAAATATCAGGCGTTTATGTAAACAGAATCAAAACCCCATAAATGTCCACATGTATACCACGTTATCAGTACAATATGGGAGCCACTGAGAAAAGAGTATTAGGTTTCTGAGAGCATCTGATCACACACACACACACACATAGAGTTTGACTGTGTCCATGTTTCTAAGGGATTGTCCGAATGTTTGTAACACAATGAGCTCAGTCATTTAACCAAACTGCATTTTCTTGTAAAATCTCATCAAAAGCCTATCAGGAACCTGATCCACATGGTAAACAGTCTGCACTGCAGCAGCTCTGCTTCTAATCATATGGGTACAAATGTTTGACCCTGTGAAGTTTTGAAAGGCTTATTACATTATTGCGACTTGGGTTTAATGGTTGTAGTTTTGGCCATGATTTCTATTGCTATTAATAACACAAGTGAACTGCTGAGATCTGGCAATGTTACAAAATTGTTAAAAAGAAGTCAGATTTATTTGGAAGAGCAAATAAAGGTGAGCCGAAAAATGATTAATCAAAATGTAAATATGCATCATAGTTTACAGAACAGGTTCAACTTTGACATGACATACTGACCAAAGTTGTGTTTGCATGCCGTTTTCATGTGCAATGAGAGAAGGCTACTTTACTGACATAGACATCCTGACTTTCCTGTTATAAGGTTCCCATATAGGGCTTTTATTTTGATAATGACGCTCTGTATGTGTGTGTCTGTGTGTGTATGTGTGTGTCTGTGTGTGTGTGTGTGTGTGTGTGTGTGTGTGTGTGTGTGTGTGTATACACATGCCTGTGGGACACACATTTATGCATATATGTGTTTCTCCTATATGGTTTAAACGTACATGATTTGAAAGCTGGGATGCCCTACTGTAACTGAAAGCACTTCAGAGTAACTTCAAAGTATGAATGGGTTTAAAAAGTTGAATAGACCTCAAATTGCATGAACAATGTGGAATAGTTTAATTCCTTGTGTGTGTGTTGGGCGTGTGCTTTTACTGACTTTTAACATTCACTTTTAGTTTTTACCACCAAACTCAGGGATTTCTGACACAACGGTTGTTTGTTTACATCCTGTCTGATCATCTGACTGCTTGTGTTTCTTGCCCGTATCAGACTGTATTTTAACAATGTCGCTGTTCTCCCAGATCTCAGCAATTACTACAGGGGGTACAGTGTTTTCATGGAGAGCACAAAAGAGGTGCAAAACTATAAAGATAAGACCCATATTTTCATAAACTGGAATTATCTTTTAAACCTGCATAAAACATTTAGAGTCAGACCTAGCATGAATCATGTGGGTGTTTTGAGGGTAGGAGGTAAGGAAACACCTAACAGTACTGTTCAAGTATCGCTCCACTTGCTTGCAGCAGGACTAAGCTGGTGTGAGGTAATACAGCAAAAGTAATTACAGCATCTCAAACAACTGTAACCACTGTAACCCTCTGTATTTTTCTTGAGGGTCTCTGGTTGTCAGAGGGGGAGGAAGGTCCACAGTTGCTCCTTAGATCTCCCAGGTTGTTTGAACAGGAGAGAAAGATTGTAATCCACTGTGACAGGCCTGTAGCACTCAGAGGCTCAACACACACATGCAGACAAAAACACACACACGCAAAAAACCTTTTCAGCTGGAAGATGGGGGGGGGGGGGGGGGGGGGGGGGGCGTCAGTGGCAATCCTACACGTTGACAGCTACAAGTGCAACCACCAGGAGCCAGGAAATACTGACAGATCTGTGGGCTGATACATCTACCTACAGAGGCTACGAGCAAGCATCCCCGCACTCAGCCAACCAACTCCAAAAGGCGGTTGCCATGGCGACGGCAGCAGCGAAATAAGGGGGCTTCGGCCTTAACGACAGCTGGGGCTTACTGTGGATGGAGGACATAATTCCTGTCCGTCACAACAACCCACATCACCCTCAGAAAATGTGTCCCCGTCTGTTTTTTGGAGCAGTGCAGATAAGACTATAAAAGTCTATTCAGAAGTTTCCTGTCAATAGTATTTTATTGTGTTTAATGCAATGTTTTGACATCACCTTGAACACACCTGTGGTTTTCTCTCAAATATGAGAAAGGCACATTACAGCACAAAGCATCTTCATTTGTCCTGTGCTGACTGCATGGGAACTGCAGACCTGTCGAAAGCTTGGAAATCAATGTCCGATTGTGAACCAAGAGGTAGAACTAATGGTTAGGTAAACCTTACAACTCCCCAGAGGAGAGGGGCCTCTTGTGTGCGAAGAGGAACCGCTTATTTGAAGGGTTTAAAAGTACTTAAAAAGACACAGGAACAAAATGACATGGGTGACAGAGTATTCAAACACACAGACACTGGACAACCCATGCACACAGCTCACCTGGTTGATGTGTTTGAGTTTGTCTATGATCTGGCTGATGATTGGCTCAGGGGGCTTGTTGCTTCGGGACTCGGAGCTGGGTTGCAATCGCTTCAGGCCAGGCCCGGGAAACCTGACAGGACAGGAAGAAAATACTGACTGGTTTTTGATTGTTTAGAAGAGTTTCACTGAATTTAGAAACCTCAATGTAAGCTTTATGAGTGGAAGACATAATGAACTGATCATTGCTCCATCACCCCAAACAAGGCGTTTATCACCATCTAGTGTTGATAGGATGAATGACAGCTCTTCTGGTTTTTAGATTATGGGCCTATCAGCATGGCTGGAAAGTTAATTTGTAACTCAGCCCTAGCCAAAGGACTAACTTTTGCCTCACTGAAGACACTATGTCATTAAAGATTAAAAATATTTTAATGATTCAAGATATTTTTAATAAAAGCTGTGGAGACTGCATCCTACTGACAAAGAAAGTATTCATGTTCAAAATGTTTCAGCATCAGCTTGTAGACACCATGAGGTATAAAAAACCTTCAATGTCTGGTTAATAATTAATTTCATGCGCATTAAACTGGTCAATTAGTGGCCTTTAATCATATTTAGTGCTAATGAGAGGACATTAGCAGACATGTACTTCAGTCCTTCTTTAGCAGGGAGGATATTTTTGGGCACAAGCAGCCTACAGGCAGGTGCTTACATGTCTGCCTAACTGAGGAAACACGGCTCTGTTGACACCTGTGAATGTTGTAGCTGGTGAGTCTGAGAGTTTCCTGCAGGTGTTTCTTCGGTCTTGACAGTGCCAGGAATTAACCCCTTCCAACCACACCATCACAACTCTGAGGAGTAGACTACTAACTACTCCTGCACACATAAGACGAGTGTGTTTAGATGAACTAGAGTCAGAATCGACAACCTATCTTCCCTGGGCACCACAGTAATATGAGTGGTGGTGGGGGCAGAGGTCATATCTCAGTGTAAATGGCATCTGTTATATTGCTGCAAACGTTAGAAAGACGAAGGACAAATGGGTCGGAGTGGTGAAAAATTATTTTCATAGAAAAGGTTAGTAAGAGAGAAATGGGCCTTGAAAAAATAATGCATGCGTGTGTGTGCAAAGCATGAGGTCATACTCTCTTCTCATCTCTATGACACAGCCCAGAGCGCAGACACGCACACACACACACACCTTTCACCTGTCATCTCCATTCGTCTTTTGCTCTCCCCAAAGTCAGACTTTTCATTAAACTCAAATTACATTTCCCAAGTTATTTATTCTTCTTATTAGCTATGATCTCACCCCCATTCCGCTGCTAATTATCACATTAATAATGGAGAGAGATGTGCGATCCATTAAGGAGAGGAAAAGAGGAAATATGGGTCGAGGAAGGAGGATTAGGGGAGGGAGATTTTGAGTGAAGATAAGGAGCTGAGGCAGGTTAGTGTTTCACATGATAGATGCCAGTCAGATATTTTTGCCGAGACATAATTTAGCGTGTATCACCGTTAAACTGTTTTTCACCGCTGATAGTCTTAGTTGTCAGCGCTCAGTATGCTATCTGATTGTTTCTGTGTTATTGTTTGCTGCTAGCAGAGCTGATCAGATCAGTTAACTCAAGTGATAACTTAATCTAATGTAACACCAATTACCATGCTATTAGGGCGAGTCTGAATGAGATGCCTTTCCCATCAGAATAAACAACTGAGGGAGACACAGGGGTCCAGGTGTTGAAGGAATACATAATGGAGTCTGGCGCTTTTCACACCACCATATCACACCTCCAGTCCCGTGGTGTGTAAACAGTGTGGTTGTTACTGTTAATACACTGTATTTCTTCTGGCTGAATGTCATGCTGAGCTAAAAGAGAATCCAATTGAGATATCATAAAAAGAGCTGTAAGGGACTGTATGAAAATGACTAGGGTTGTGGAGGTGGTGGGTCAAACCTTATGTTTCACTTTGTAAAAAAAAGCAAATCCCTATGGAGGCATATTAATGATTTTCTTTTATGAACCCCCATCATCACTTCGAAACAAATGCAACACAAATTTAATCTGAATATCTAATGTGCACCAGCAATGTAGTGGCGTGGCTCTGGGGATGGCAACGTCAGTCTGTCTGTTGGTCTGTCAACATCTTTGGTCCAGCCTGAAATATCTCAACTATAGGATGGATTGCCAAGATATTTGGTATTCTACTGACTTTGGTGAGCCCCTGACTTCTCCTCTAGTGCCACCATGAGGTTGGCCTTTGTAGTTTTTATTGAAATGTCTCAACAACTATTGGATGGATTGTCATGAAATTTACTAAAGACAATGATGTTTCCCTCAGGAGGAACTGTAATCACTTTCATCCCTTAACGTTTTCCGCTAACAACAGAACAAGGTCAAAATTATCTTTGTCCTACCCTTCTGTTCTTTCTCTTCTTTGACCAAATACCTGCAAAAGTAATGCCATCCCCATCAGCCTCAGATGCACTTTGCATTTAGTGCGAATTAGCAAAAGTTAAAATGCTAACTTGCTGAACTAAGATAGCTGATATGATTAACATTACACCTGCTTTACATCAGCATGTTACTATTTCCACTGTGAGCATGTTAACATGCAGACATTAGCATTTAGCTTAAGGTAAAGCCTAAGTACAGCACAGAGCAACATCAACAGGACTTGTTGATATATAACTGATTATTTTTTTAATGGATAATTTAACAGTTGAAAATGATCTCTTTGGATAATATGGAACATTTACTGTGATGTTGATCAATGTGCACTGAACCTGAAAAATGCACATTAATAAAACCCTGAAACTGATATTGTTAGTCCATGCATATCGCAAAGTCTACCCTTATAGATCACGGTACGAGTGAACGTTTTGTTTTTGTTATAACTGTTTATGTAACTATGGGCTGAAATAAAATACCAATTTAAGATGAAAAAATAAAAGAGTCTCCTGCTCTCCCAAAAATGACAAAAGAAAAATAACAATACCCTCCTCCATTTCTGACCTCCTCTCCCCCCAATTAATTTTCACACAGTCCCTAAATTAAATGTTCACAGTTGAGGCAGCATTTAATCTTTTATCAGTCATCACACACGCATGAGTTTACACTGTCATTAGATTAAAAAGAGGAATGGAAATTTAATGTTTTGAGTTGGCACGGTGTCACATCTGTTATCACAGTTATCAGTGAAACGCTCTTTGATGTGGTGAAAGTGTTGCTCCTATGATCTTGGCTCCAGGTGGGATGGTAAACATGCCTGATAAAAAGCACCACATTTAGCTCCTAAGATCACTCCTCAAGTATTGGAGACATTCAGCAACCGACCCCCCCCATTCTAAATTTATCTGCATGAGACTATATGAGAAAGAACCCCATGTTCTGGAGAAGGTCCTTTCAGGGAGGATAATGGAAGATGATCCAGAACAAATCTCAGAGTAAAAATGTACCCGGAGTGAATTTGCAGGCATATGCCCTCACAGATGACACGGAGAATTGCTTGCCGCGAGACATTGTAATCGCTCCATCATTTCGTCTCCTTTCCTGCCTCCCTGCACCTTCCTATCGCACTGTTTGGTCCAGCTTGTAATCATCCCCTCAGGACAGCTTTGCCCCCATGCCAACCTGATGTCCTCTCCTCAGATTGAGACTCTTTTCTATCTTGGTGACAGCCTCTCTTTCAGCTGTTTGAAAAAGCTCAGAATTTATTCTCTGTCCTCCTCTGAAACAAGAGGTATAACATTAACCTGCAGCTCTTCTTGTCTGAAATGTGTGCCTCTGCATTGATTAAATTCCACACATAATTTAAAAAGCAAAAAAGAGGATATCTATAACTATCTAAGCCAAATTGAAATTGGGGCCTGACAGCGCGGGTGGAAAGGAGGAAGTTATGATGTGTGGAGCCAAAGGACAGGGGTGAAGTGAAATATTGCAAAAACCAAATGAGGTTCTGCGGGGTGCACAGGAGATGTTGGAAGAAGGAGGAGAGAACGATCGAAACAGCAATTAACTAAGCGAGAAGAAGGTGACAGCACGCCTGACATTAATAACATCCCATAGAGCCAAAGTCAAGATTTACACTCACACTGAGTGAGAGAGGTGAAGCTCAGTGTGAAGCTCATCAGCCCTGGGCAAACGTACCCTTCAGCTCACCTACACTCTCCTAAATGTGTTGCTGGAGTACTGGGAATTCAAGAATCAGAGCAAACTATTTGTGTAACTGATCATTCAGAAAGCCAATAAATGTGAGCAGGACCATCCTGCAGGCTGTAGGGTGTGCAAGATCATAGATTTGTCTGTAGGTGCATACAGGGCTCGCAGTATGTTTTAGAGCTGTTGATTCAGGCAAATGAGACACTGATTTACCTGTCTGTCATCTCCTGCCCATTCCAGCAGAGGGAGTGGTTTGCTGGAACAGGCTCACGGCTGCACAGTGCCTCCCCGAGACCACTGTAGAAGGAGCTGAAGCCCCTCAGGTTGGATATGAACTCCCTATAGTAGAGAAAGAAAAGAAATGTTCAGCATAGTGAGAGACAAAGAATAAATCCTCACTTGATCTGAATATGACTCACACACATCAGTGGGGAGAAGAGCAGAAACTGTCCTACGGTGAGAGAATGAGAGAAACAAAGAAAGAAACACAAAGAAGAAGTGGCAGAGATAGAATAAGAGAGGGGATTCAACTTGATAACGCTGAAAGCAAGTCGATGAGGTCCCCCTCGAGAAAGAGAGAGTAAAAGAGGCAAGAATAAGCAGTGTCTCCATTCCTAATTGACAATAATCTGGTCATTGTGCTGCCGAGGCCAGCAGCCCCGCTGGGCATTATTACACTGTTCATTTAAGCTTGTTATTGCATCAGGGGTATTAAAAACACTCGAGTGGAGAAAGACTGGGTGTCACAAGGAAACAGGAGGAAACCTGTCCACAGTGTCAGGGCCAATATTTGTCTGTCAGACATATATTGCTCCTGCAGTGGTCTGGAGAGTGAGCGCTGCTTCATCAGCTGGAAGGGTCTCAGTCTGGATTACAGTTCCTGATTTCCTCACCTGCGGAGGCCAGCCAAAGTCTCATCAGAGTCCAAGGATGAGGGCTGCGTGTTGCGGGATGCAGAGGCAGCGGGAGGGTGGGGAGGAGGGGATCCGACTGAGCGAGAGGATCGCTGAGGAGTGTGTCCGCACATCCCGCTCACCTGCAGAGGAGAGAGGAGAAAATGAGATACCGGGGATTGAGTGAGTGAATTCAGTTCCCCAAAACCCTTCACCCCGCTTATGTTTCATTGCTCCCAGTTCCTGGCCCCTAAGCCTGTTTATTCAAACTCTTAATTGCAATGACACTGCAGACAGTAAGAACCTGTCAACAGCCAAACTGCTGGCCTTACTCAGCTGAGCCCCTCTGCAAATTGTCATCTGCTTGGGTTTGTTTATTTTCGGGAGGGATGAAAGCAGAAAGATTTGCATAACAAACAAGTCATTGTATCCTCCGCCAGCCGTTTTCCGGCTTGTTCGAATTTGTAATCAGAACACTCCAAAAACGAGCGTGAAAATAAGGCCTCTCGTTTGCTTTTTCTTTCCCCATATAAATGCTATTGTGTTTCCACACGGGACAACATAACAATAATAAATAAGAAGTCCCTCTCTGTCTCTCAGAGATAATGGACCTGGCACATTCTTTTCAGGTGCAATAAAAATGCAAATGGCTGTTAATGTTTAGCTTGTGGTTTAATGATTTGCTGGTGGTTTAATTTCCCCCAGGAATACTGGCCAAGGCTTAATTCTGCCATATAATGTTAACAGCTAATTGTGCCCACCTTCCCTTTAAGTGAATAGGCTGGCACCACTGCTGCTGAATACTGATGTGACCAGATAGAGCAGCACCGGACATCTTTATCTAGCGGCAACCGAGGCCAAGTGCACACACACACACACACACACACACACACACTCGCACAGATTTCCCAGCATAAACAAAAATGAATCATTTTATGCAATTACTCATTTAAACATAATGCACCTAAGCCCATTAACATGATAAACATGCACTCCTACGTAATCATGACAAACAGACACATTATATAAACACACACACACACACACACACACACACACACACACACACTTGTTTATTGCATGCATGCTGACACACAGAGAAATGCTAATCAGCTGTAAGACAGAATCATCAGGGTTAATCAATACAGCCTTTTCATCCAGCGATGCAGTAATGGCACAGACATCTTAATATTCACGCACACACACACACACACACACACACACTTCAGCCCATTGTCTGTGACACCCCATTGTCTCCCTCCAAATCTTCCTCTCGTGTAATTCTCCCGTTCTCCTGCGCCTGGAGCGAGTGCCGGTGCTCCCACAGGCCATGATTAATGTGATTGGAGCTATGTTCCTCTGTTTGTTTGTGCGTTCACGGGAAGCCGTAGGGGAGTTGTCACACAAGGGAAATACTGATTCAGCACGCGGGCCCTGCCACTGAACCCCCCCCCCCCCCCACCCGACGATTGTTTCCGGATTCTTCAAGGAAGGGGCTCATTAGTGGGGTATTAATATCACCCAGGGCTGGACTAACACAACCAACAGGAGAGTCTGCAGATAAAGCCTGCCTCAGCGTGAGAGCTGGGAAATATCTGCACACTTTTATCTGCACTGAGCAGCCCGTCTCACTGAGAGAGCGAAGTGCTGATGGACAGTAATACAACACACACACACACACAAACATACATCTCACAGTCCATGCACACCTGCATGTCAGCTTTCACGTGGCAGTGTGCATGTACAAACATGGTGTACAGATACACTCCATACCAATCAATGGCAATGCACATGGATCGTGACACTCTAATGTATAATCAGGCTTATACGTTAATCCTGGTCACAAGGAGTTATTAATAAGCAAACAGTTTCAGGAGAAAAGATGATACAACTATCAGTGTTGTAAAGGTGGCAGTGTGCCATGCACAGCTGTACTAGCATACTGGAGAATATTTGGTGAGTAATGTTTGTGTTCAAAGGGAGTCCAAAGGGAGTCCAGGCTCAGGGGAGAGACTGAGTCAGCACTCCTCCTCCTTCACCTCTTTCCTGCATTGTTGTCACCAACATAGGCACTGACTTCTGGTAAAATACATACATTAGGCATCCTATTTCTGCTGAAGCCCTTTGAAATTCTCCCAGTGAAATGAAAATGAGGGAAAAGTCTCACTGTGTCAAAAGTAAAGTTACACCAGATAGCTATCATGCTTAATCTTCAAACGGATACTATTCTGGGTTGTAAATGAGGAACATGGTGCAACAATATCTTTCAGTTTGATGTGGTGCAAATTGTTTTAAAATGTCTTGATCAAATCAGCCAGAGCACTTCCCAATTTTCTTGTCCGACATACCCCCACAGCTGAGCTCAAGTAGCCTTTAACAGACAGCAGTAAATTAGTTCAGTTTATGTGATTTTAATGTGGCTGTCATTTAATACCATTGCTGTGGGTATTGTTAATATTGCTTTCATACAGTTGGGCTAAATCTTTAGGTCAGTTTGGTCAACTTGCATTTGTGTTAGTACCACTAGAAGTAAGCTGTACATTTCAACCATTTATCCATTACTTTTAGCTAATTTCAATTGTTTATCCAGCACTTCCATTTATCCATTATTGTTTATCCATTACAAGCCAACAAACTTCAATTTTAATCCATTTAGTTTTTTAATTGTTTATCCATTATTGTTTATTTATTACTTAGCTAACTATTTCAAGTGTAAATCCATTACTTTAGCTAAGTATTCTCAATTGTTTATCCTTTACGGTAAGCTAACTAATTTAAGTTGGTTACTTCTGGCTAACTATTCTAAACTAACTATTAAAATAACTATTTAAATTAGCTGAGCTAGCTACTCCACAATATTTTCACCTTCCTTATAGCAACTGCAGAAGTATCAGCAAGAGTTGACTGGGGAATTCACTCCAATAGCTTACTGTAGTTCCAATAGCTTACTGTAGTTGGTCATGGAAATGACTTTGAAAGAAGATGACCAAGCTCCAGTGATTTTATTACCGCCATTTCAACCACACTTGGTCTCTCTCAAAGCAAGTTCAATCCAAGTGTCAGATACAGCCGTCTCTATATGTACACCTGGTGGTAATCAACAATCAGTGACATTATCAACAAGAATACGCACACACAACACATTTAATAGGAATAGGTTGTAACACAAAAGCAGTAATGAATTATTAATAACTTGTGGGTAAAACTAGCAGGGAACTAAAAACATATATAGCAGAGCATCAAACTAACACCAGATGTAAAAATATGAATTCAATTAGCTGTCTGTTTCGTAGAAAACAATCATCCTTAACATCTGATATGCTTACTTGTCTGTTTAGTAAATGTATATGACAGACATATGAAGACATATGATGTCTTTTTTCCCCCATTGTTGAAATGATCTTTTAAAGTTTTTGTACTATATCTAATGTCTCTATATAATTCAGTTGTTTAGCTTGGACCACTAAATATACATTTTTGTCATTGTAGCCCTTACTTCTGGATTGTCCCCTTAAGCTGGGTGATAAAGAAAACTGAACATTTTGCTTTATGTCTGTATACTGCAGATATGCGGATTGAAATAAACTGATCAAAGCTAGTTGAAATGTAAAACATGTACTCACGCAGAGTTTAAGGTACAGCTCAGATTGTTTCAGCCGAATCTTTATACATCACCAATCAGTTCTGCTCCGTATGCCTATTTAGTAAATCCACCCGTTCAGTAATCTTGTTAATGAGATCAACAAATCCCCAAATATTTTGAAAATAATAATTTGATCATATTTTTGCACATTTTCAGTTGGAAACCATATAGGTGACAAAACATAAAACTTAATTGAAGATGTGAATCTCACTAAAATAAACGAGTACTGTGCAGATCAGAGTCTATAATGAGACATTAGTTGTTTGTGCATCAAAGTTAGAGAGAGATGCTTGTAAAAATGTATTTCACACTTCTCACTCTCACTTCACAGTTGTGCAATTCCTAAAGCATTCAGGGCTGTGAAAAGCTATTAAAGCTTGATGTCTTTTTGATTTTGCAGACTCTGTTCTGAGACAGGCTGTGGGTCTGAAGTAGGTACATGAAGTTTTCTTCAAAGCAGGATGGTAAACAGGTCTAGGCAATGTGATAGTTTCCCTAAGATGCGCAATGAGGGGGAAATTTTCTGCAGTGAGAGAACAATGAAGATTTGATACATGGCTCCTTCGTTCAAATGATGTTGTGCAAAAATGTGTGATTTGTAACCAAATTATCAATAATTATATTGCAAGCAAATGAAGTTAGAGCCACCGGCTGGCTAGATTAGCTGACCAAGAGTCTGACACATAATCCTGTGTAAAACTTAGAACGTGTAAAATTAGTGGGCTTTAGATGTGCTGGCAGGCGGATTTTGTTACCTTTGACAGAGCCAGGCTGGTTTCCCCTGTTTTCAGTCTTTATGCTAGGTGAGAGAGGTTTCAAACTTCACACAATATCCAACAATTCCTTTAACAACCTTGAACAGTGTGTAGTGATTTTACATTTAGAAGCATGAAAAAGCATGCTAGCAGTGTTGAGTTAGTATTCTGTATATTTTTTTTAAACATTTCAGTCTATGTGTTTTTAATCTGGAGGTTTTCATCTTTTCAAAGCCATGGATAAATCTAAATTCAAAATTCAAACCACAGGATTGGAACTTTTTACGACACCCAATTTGATTAACAGGTCTTTTAATACACATATTTGGCTAGAAAACAGCTAAATGAAAATTAATGTAATTTTCGTATGTTTTTAAAGGTTAATTTCACAGAAGCTTACAGGCTTTTCAGTTGCTGTTGAAATTAACCTTTAAAAGCATTCAGCTACGATCAGCTAAACAAACACAATGCTTATTTTTCACCATTCAGTCAAACTTTTCAACAATGCATGCTCATTTATCTGTAATTAACAAACAAATTGCAGATTGGGCCTTTAAGGGCTTTTAAACAACACAGTTTATTTTCAGTAATCCAAATATAACATATGACCCAATAAATAATCACTTTTACAGCATTTATACACATGATTTATTACATGTTTGAAAGCTCAAATGGCTTTTACAACTTGAAAATGTAGTCTGATGCGTGTGTGTACATTAACCTACATGTTTGAATGGATTAATAAGTAATAAAAATGCAGCAGAGATTTAATTAATGCTCTTGTTTCCACAGTGAAGCAACAGTTCGGATGTGATTTGATCAGCTTGAGCTATTTTTGAACATAAAGGGCTCACAACAAAAAAGAGAGCTTATGAAAGGTGTGTTATCGATGAAAAATGTTACCAGCACACAAAGACATGTGTGATTTTAGACTTATAACTAATCACCTAACTGTGTCAAGTGTGTACCAATTCTTAACACATGTACTCTGCACTATATCTCCTCTAATCTTGGTCAGATCCGTCATATTTCTGTCTCAGCCTACTTCCCATCTTCATTTTCAGCCGAGGGGTCGCAGGGTGATGGATGTCTCCTCCGTACTCTCCTGTCCTCCTTCCCCTTGGGCTCGCTCTTCACACTCTCCCCTCCATTCTTCTCTCTTTTTCCCCCCTCTCCCTTTCTTTGTCATTGTTTCTCTCCTCTCTTTCTCCTCAGTAACTGGTAAAAATAGAGCTTCATAAATCATGCATCTTCTCTCACAGCAGCGAGTAGGAACAAGAGGAAAAGAAATAAATAGGGGAAAGGGATGAAAGAGAGAGAAGGATGTAGAGGATGAGATGTAGAGACGGAGGTGGATGACATCAAACTCCAGGAGTGGGGTGGGAAGTTGACAGGGGAATAGATTGGAGCTGCAGGGCTCTTGGCTGCCCTCTCCGTCTCTCTGAACATTGGTTGATTCACGCTGGAGTTGCACTGGATGGAGGAAATGAATGTTAACATGCCAGGGAGCGGGCTGGCAGACGATGAGTGGTCATCTCGCCAGCAGAGTAACATGTTTCAAGTCCACAGAGAAGCGAAGTGATGTCTCTCTCATACCTCGAGGACTCTTTTACTCAGATAGAGTCGATCCGTTTGTCACCCTCAGCAGCAGGGGTCTACACTCTCACTGGAGGGGAGGTAAAGTGAGAGATACCAACCAGAGCTGCAGCTCTTCAGCTCCCAAAACAAGACAGCGTGAGCGAACTCCATAGATCAGTTTTGCTGCTTAGGTTTTCCACATGCACACATCTCAAAGACAAGCTAGGATTTATAGAACCAGACTACAGTTTTAGCCCATGAATCACGTATACTTTATATTACTGCTTACCATTTGCCAGAACATACCATTTTTAGGTGTAGTGCAATTACCAATTTAAAGTCTATTGAGAGCATCGAAAATCAGCAGCTTCTTCAAACTAGATACAGTGGACAATGTATTTGTTCACCTTTTTGTCACTTGTGTTGAGTGTGGGCCGGGACTGTTTTGTTAAGGCCCCTCAAAGATGCTCCAAAACCCAACCAAATTCTCATGAAGATTATTACATTAGGTTTTTATTTGTTAATTAAAAAAGCACATATATACATAACAAACATATTTGCATGTTTGCATGCGCTAAGGACCCATGTCTTTCAGTACATGACAATCACTTCAGTTTACTTACATCACTAACAACTGTACTGACAGACAACAAGAAGCACAAAGCACACAAGAATTGTAAGTTTACCACTGTGTATTGCACAGTGAATGCTCAATACAAAACCCACAGTTCAACCACCAATGAATGAGTCTTTATCTCAGTTTAAATCTCCACAAGAGTCCATATCTCAACAAAAACCTCCTCTTCTGGATCCCAGCAAGCAAACAAAAATATGCTCGATACATTTCAATACAAAAGCTGGCCAACAAAAAAAACCCAAGTGACTCTTCTTGCGTCCAATAGACAAGCTTAGTGATTCTCCGACAAGACTGGAGTTGACTCCCTTAGTCAATCCAGTGCACTGCTGGCAAGCTAACCGGCTGTCACTCAAGGTGGATGGGGCCTCTTCCACTTGTTTGGTTTGAAAAGCTGCCATAGATATTCCCTGGGCTGACTGGTGTGTGTACAGTAACCTTACTACATGTGTCTTTTTGTTGTGCGTTTTCCCTGTCCACCAAAAAGGCGTATAGCTTGGTGATTTTACCCGCCACTGCCAACAACTTACCCACATTTGGCGGGTGGCAGGTGGTTATTTCAGACCCTGACACCAATTTATCCATGAATGGAAAAAATCCAGGAAAATCTGTTTAAAACAATCTGTTATTTTTAAAAATAGCTCCCCACTGGTCAAAATCATCAAAAACTGAAAAGGAAGTGTTTAAACCAAACTCCTGAATCTGACTGGCATATTCAGGCACCGTTGAAAATTGTTAAACAAAAATAAAAATGAACAAAATGAAATGTATGTTGGTTTTGACACAGTGTATGGACAACTTATAGTCAGTTGGCTAAAACATGAAAAATCACTGTAATGGTTAATTAATCCCTAAATTCATTCACTCAAATCCTAAATTGGTTATTTGAGGTGAAGCAATTAAGAATTTTGGTTGATCTCCAATGACTCCTCAGCGAGACAAAATTAGGCTTTAGGGAAACAATGCCTCTGTCCCCTCAGTGACACCACTGAGCAAGGAGTGTCTCTGCAAGATTACACTCACACACACACACACACACACACACACACGACCTTGTCACAGTGCTGAACAATACACTGCCATAGCAGCTTTAATCTCGTATACTGGAACCAGAGTCAGAGCCATAAACACAGTGTAAAGTCATCCTTGGTGACTGAAACTGCAATCTTAACTAAACCCACACAGGACTTATTTCATTTTGGATAAGGATCTCACACTCACTCACATACACACACAGCAATTTCCCCTAAGTCAGCGAATCATGAATGCAGCCACGCCCTCACGCTGGAGAGTAAGTGAGGTCAACCTGTGTGTTAATAAATGATGGGTTCTGAGTGGAAATCTGGTCACCGCGGGGATTCAGGGTGTGAGAGTGAAAAGTTCAGCAGATATACAGGAGAAAAAGCACATCCAGCTCTGTAACTGGCAGAAAAAGACTTCCATATTTCATGAGCACTTCTCCCTGACTTCACATGTGGGCTACGAACAAACTTGACGGTTTTATCGCAGTTCAAGCCACACATATCGGGTCACTGCCGCGGAGTGAGAGACGAGTTTTGAGACGTGCTGGGAGCATCTGTCTGGCTGCCCTAAAAAATACATGCTTGTTCTCCTCCCTTCCTTTTCTTTGCTGTTTTATCTCCCTCTTGACTCTGGTTCAGTCCAAGGTGAATTCTTGCTTTGAATGTGGGGAAACAATATGTTGTAGGTCAGATGTAGCTGTGTCTAGTTGAGTGTTTGTGATTTCTTATTACAAGGTGATGTCTTCTTCAGTGCAGGGAAGAAATGGATCAGGTATCCTCCCTCACTCACTTCTTTGTTCATGTCCTGTGTGTTTCTCTGAGGGAGTTAACTTTGTAACATAAACATTTAAATGAACAATTAGATTTCTGTCCAACAAAACTGGCCTGCATTGAGCACTGAAAAAGCACAACATAGCCTTGTCATTCCAACATAGTGCAACCCTTTAAACATACTCGTTGTATTATCAAAATCTGATCTGATTTCATGCCATTCGTGTGTGCGGGAAGTCAGCAGGAAGTCATTCGGCTCAGGCAGAGAGGTAAAGGACTGTAATAATCACGATCTGTGGGCCCATAAACATGTACGCCTGAAGAACTTTTACTGGGATAAATGATACACCAACACAGAATTCTGTTCACTTCACTTATAAGTGATTTATCCCCAAAACGGGAGATGCACAGTTGAATTTATTAGTTGCATGGCCTCAGTTGAAGTGAATGAAAGACAGAGCATATATTCACAGAGAGGCACTAGAGTTACTTTTGTTGAGAAGCAGGAGAAGACGATTGTTGTAACACTATCTCATGTGTTATATAAACTGTAAACAGTGCAGTGATGTGATGGCTTCGAACTCACCCAAACTAGACTTCCTGCAGGTTAATCGTCTCATCTCTAAGAAAATCCCCACACCAATGCAATCCCATGTAGTGTTTTAATGCAGTGCTATGTACAGTTAGACAAACACTTAGTGTGTAGGTACGTTTGTGTGTACTGGACTCACCAGGGTGGTGAGGCGGATGCGGGCGTTCACAGCGTGCTTGACAGCCAGTTTGATCATTGAGGGCAGTCTAAGAACAACAGCCTCCATGTCCTGCTCTCCCCTCATGGCTCCAGCCAGCTTCCCCAGTCCGTCTACGTAGTTCCTCCAGTGAGGCTGCACCTCGGCCGCTCCCCCCAGGCAGCCGTGCATTACCGCTTGACAGAAGCCTCTGCAGGCTGGCGGCCCCAGCATGCCTTGGCAGTGCGGGCAGTACCACAGCCGCAGCAGGGCCCGGCTACAATCCCGGCTGGGCCGCAGGTGGTCTGTGGTGTTGACAACCTCAATGCCCAGGTTCAACGCCTGCAGGAAGACTCGTGTGGCCAGGAGGGAGCGAGACAGACGTGTCATCATCATTTTGGGATATGGGCCAAATGCTCCTGAGTCCTTCCAGGCTCCTCTTACACACTCCTCAGACACAGAGGAGGATATGCTACCCCCCAGCAGGCGGCGGTATGTCAGGGGGAAGAGGCGGCCGTAGAGCACCGCCACCATGTGGTCCACTGCAGAGTCTGAGCCCAGGATGTAGAGCGACATGTCCAGGAAGAGCTGCCCCACGGAGCTCTGGGCTCCACTTCCGAGACCCGGGAACTCTGACTTCAGCATGGCCAGGGTGGAGTTACGGCCGTGACGCAGCACCAGGTCAAAGGCCTCTGCAAGAAAGCAAAAGAACAGTACGGAAAAGAATCAGATGAGATGAAAATCAGGCCACCTTGTAGAAAGCTGTTGCATTCAGCAGGTGCCTCAGTAATCAAAACAACTATACCAAGCTGTCAAAGAAAAGGCGGCAATTTAGCTCAAAAACAAAACAACACTCAAATAGATGCAGTTCCTCCCAAACATCCACCCCAACCCTAACAATCACAGTGAGAGAAAACTTCCCACGCACTGTTCTATTTCACTTTTCCCAGTTTTTCATCAATCTGTTTTCTCTGCACAGGACAAACACACATAAACACACACACACACACACACACACACACACACACACACACACACACACACACACACACACACAACAATAATAGATGATAACTTGGAATATAAAGAGAGCAAAGCTTCTGCAGCAGATGAAAAGCAAGATTTGAGGTATGAAAAAGTCCCCTTAAAAGAGAGCGCTAATCTCAATGTATTAGTCAACCAGGAGAGGCATGGCCACGAGGATACCTGCAGGGAGAAAAGCATTCAGATCATGCAGGAGGGAGGGGCGTGTGGCCGATGTGAGGAGGGAAAATAATCAGTGGCGTTTCAAGGCACAAAGTGAAGTCTTATCAACAAGGTGGCACAAGAAGCGAGAGCTCTATCATCGACCCGGTAGCAAAACGAGTGAGAACCCAACAACAGAGGGGATTTAAAGCTCCATTACTGAACTTAGCAGGGGAGCTGAGAGTCAGTGAAATGAAGCTTTGGACAGGAGAATAGCTGGGTATGCCGAAATCCCATTTATACCGCAGCTAGTCCACTACATCACTTTGTTGAGAGTGATAGCCACAACTGCTTTGTGAGGGTGGGGCGCGAGGGGGAGGCACTGGTTTAGGCGACATTAGAGGAAGTTATTGGTTTTTGTGCTACAAAGATGTCCATTTCATCTTTGTTATTTGATTTTTCTTGCTTGGATAGTTTAATTTCTTTCTCTTCATGGTTCTCTGAGGTCAAATGAAGCTCATCAGCCTATGCAGTGCTCTGAGTCCTTGGACAGCTTTGAGAAACGATGTGACAGCTCTGTCTTTTTTGTGTCGAACGTCTAATATGTTTTTCTCTGTGCAATTTCAGGCACATAAGGAGGTCCGTAAGAATATGACAATATCTGAGCAAAGGAAATGAACATCACTCCCTCTTTCTATCTAACTGCTGCTGGCATTCATTTCAACTATGTCTCTTTTGAAAGAAGAATTATCACAATCTTACTTTTATTAAAACTTGAATTCATCGGAAACAAAACTCTGGTCACATCCATACAACTAGGGCTTTTGCTGCAGCAGCCTTCCTTGGTCTGGTGTGACCACTAGCTTATGGTGGCTTATATATATTGCTCCACCCACGTTGTTGTGCTGTCAAAGAATAGCATTTCAATGGTTTTATCACAAACATAAAACAAGAAGTGAACAGCAGGAGAAATGTTGTTTCCTGCTTGTGGTCCCGCTCACAGCAAGCTTGTCTACACACAGCACATTTTAGATGTACTACAATGGCAAATAAAGTCCACGCATAAATGCAAGTGGACATGAACAGATGCAAAATCATCCTGGGTGGTGTAAAGTGAGGCCATAGAAAATCAGATAATGCTGCCCTGTAGATTAAAATAAGACGTGCATTTTCGATGATCCACGCCTCTAAACTACAAGGCAGTGTCATGAAAAAAAAAAAGCTCTGCGTCAAGGTTGTGTGTCTGGGCTTGAATACAGATTCAAGCTAAAACGCTGTGTTACTGTAAGTCACTATTAAAAAGATGGCATCTTTAAATCAACTGACTCAAGAAAATCTTTGGAAATTAAGGGAAATTCAATACACCAGTACCCTGTAATTGCCGCATGTAGCCACAGTAGCCACTGTTCAGCAGAAGTTACACATCATCGCTTTAAGCAGGCCATTTATCCCCAAACCTCCTCCTGGAAATTTGAATGTGTGTGAATGGAAAACAGGGTGGAAAACAGCATGCACGCTCACCGATACAGTTGCTGGGTGAATAAAGGTTAAGAAAAACATTTGAGGATGTTTGGGTGAGAGTGAGAGGATGCTTGGGAGCAGCGCACATCTGTTTAGATTTTCAGGCTACGGATGTCCCACTGCGTCTGCGGAGCACTTCCCTCATGCGATCAATGAGCAGACAGATGTGCAGATTGCCAACCGAGACAAGGAGACAGACTGGGAGGAGGTGAGACACGCCCACACATACACACGCAGAAAAACACACACGCAGATGTACACAGAAATACAAAGCTGTCTATTCCTGGTAGTGCAAAAGCAGGAGCGTCTTATATTTGGTTACTGATCGAAAATTGAAGGCAGTGAGAAAATGCACATCCACCTCAAAGCTATTTGCTTCTCATTTTCTTGGTTTCTATGAAAGCCTCTTACATCAAACCCTGTAATTCAGCTGCTACCTGTAGTATCTCTTACACCACAAAGCGGAGAGCCACTTTGTAATGGCAAAGACAAAGACTAGAGGGCTCTTCATAAATGCAATTCAATGGTTCTAAGTAGTCGGGGTCATGGCAAGCACTATTGCGAGCCCATTTCCTGTGCGCGCTGCCTGCTCTCTTTCATCACTGAAAGCCTGTGCAGGATCAGGTATCCTCTAATGGAGGGGAGAGGGGCTGTGTGTCAGGGACCTGTGACATTCTGCATCCAACTGTAGGAGGTCAAGAGCACACATTACCAGAGCAGGAGCCTAAAAACATATTGGGTCACGCTTAAAATTAGCAGTAGCGTTTATTTTGTCAGTGTCACAGATGGAGGCAGAAGGCTGGCTGCTGGAAAATGCTTTCTCCTCTGAGACTGGAGGCTTTTTACAGATAGATCAGCGGCACAAGGCAGAGGGAAATGTCTCTCCCTCTCCTCTTTTACCTCTGTCCACCTGTTTCACCAGCCAGATAATTTTTACTCCAAGGATTCAGAGCGTCTCCGCTTCCTCGGGCATTAAAATATGGATATCCACTAAATGAAGTCCAATATTCAGCAGCCTCTCTGTCTCATTGTCATTGAAGATACCGTAAATCTGCAGTGTAACATTGTGAATGCTTTATCATAATGTCTACTTCCTGTCATTAATCAAAGCTCCCAATTAAACTGTGATCAAGTGCTGCAGATCTCAGGTAGTCTGAAATGTAAAAGAAATCTAATGAATCTGTTACGGTGAGGTCACTTATTTCTGACATCTAAAAGCTCTAAGTGACTCCAGCTCTGACATAAAACAGGCTTTTCACATAATATATGAATGGCCTGTCAATGAGCATATTTGATGTCCATGAGGCCGTCAGTCTGGGCGCTACATAAGTCAACTCTGCGGCTCATAACACACCAGACTGACTGACTGGCCGCTGGCTGTGGCTGACACGCTGCCAAGGCAGACATGCACCGTGCTGCCTCATCAATCAACGTCCCGTACACCTATTATCCCCAGGAGAGGAAAACATCAATAAATTACCCAGCCAATGAGACTAATCCATTTGGCTGATGGGGTGTCACCTCTAGCCGCCACGGAGACGGATGGAGAAGCCGCTGCCACCTGGTCCTGGTGACAAAACAGTCCCTGTCCAGGACGCAGAGGGAAGACTAGCAGGAAGACACAGGGAGCTATTCACAAAGACACATGCCAGCACACTGTGTGTCAGGTGGAAACCTCGTATCAGCCATTTTTTTTTAGAAAGCTTTTAAAGTTCTAAGGTTTTCACATGAGTGTATTGAGCATATGGACGTATGCACAGGCTGATACATGCACACACCAGCAAGCTTTGCATTCAGTTATGATTTCATGAGCCTGTCTACAACAAAAGCTGCATCTGTTCATTGACTGTAAACAATATGTTGTTTTTCCCAGACATATTTTACTCAGCTCCCACAGAGCGGCCTGTCCCAGGTAACCTGAGAGCAGCTCCACCTCATGAGCTACTCCTTGTCTGAGTCCGGGTGCCCTGGGCCTACGGGGCGGCGGTAGCGAGGCAGGGCGGGGTCGGCTGATTCCAGGAACAAAGCAGACAGGATGCTGGTAAGGCCCAGATAGCATCACCATCAGACGGTGATGGCCAATGGACAGCGGGGCAGAAATGAGACATGTATTAGGTTACTCCATCTGTTAGAGACCACTCACAAACACACACATGCACGCACACGCGCGCACACCGCGCAATCATACAGCGCGCAGCAGTAGCCAGGTGGTGACAGTGTGGGCGAACATTTGGCAAACCGTAGTGGGAGAGCAAGGTGTGAGTCAGGTGTAAGGACTGAAGCTGCACACACACACGCACGCACGCACGCACACACACACACACACACACGCACACACACACGCGCACACACAAGCAGATTTTCCTTTTCATTCATTTGCCTCCACATGAGCTTCTGAAAAATGTTTCCCCACAGCTAGACAAAATAAGAAACAATGAAAATCCATCCTCTGGTATCATGACCTGTAGTCTGCTCCCCCATAAACAAATGAACTGAAGAGGGATTTTCTAAATCTCACACAATGAGTCGGTCACTCTGACACATTTTAAAAATTTTAACACTTTTGTTTTGGATTGATGTCTTTTTTTAAAGAATGCACAAAGATAAATCCAGTTTATAATAACATGGATCTTTCTTTCCCCCGGATCTTTTTTTGGCCATTAGTTGCATCAGTTATCTTAACATTGTATTCAGCGATGTCATTGATGGGATCACGAACATTGCTACCAAGACATGGGCGTTCAGAAAAGACAGATATGTTGTAAACAAGTACAGCCCGATTAACTAAACCCTTTTATTTGGAGGTAAACCGGAAAGTGAGTGCACCAATGATGTTACTATTAATCCCTCATGTTTGCTGATGCAGCTCCTTCCTCCATCCCAGTCTCCTCCTTATGCACAAGGTTTTTGGTATTGATTAAGTAATTAAGTAATATCTAATGTACGTGTTTATTAAGGAGGGGATTCCAGCGGAATCCTTGTTGCT